TTATCAGAGAAGAGGGGCTTGGGGGACTGAGTGGAAAAGGTGAAGAGATTAAGAAGTACATATTGGAAAAAAGAAGTACAAATTGGTAGTTTTAAAATAGTCATGGGTATGTAAATACAGCATAGAAAATGTAGTCAATAATATTTTAATAACTATTTGTGGTGCCAGGTACATACTGGCAATATCAGGGGGAATACTTTGTAAAGTATATGACTGTCTTACCTATGTTATACACCTGAAACTAATATAAAATAATATTGAATGTAAACTGTAATTTAAAAAGAAAACCAAAATTTTTTTTAAGAATCTATCCCATATGTGTACATTTAGACAGTCTGATAGTCCATATACCAAAATTATTAACTCTTGTCTGGGGCAGAAGCGGTGTGGTTACACATTTAATATATTTCCATATTGCTTTTCAACAATCATATAAAATGTGAGAGAGTTATTTGTCTTTGACTGAGGGAAAGTTAGAAATAAAACACAAATAAAAAGCCAAAAATTCACCAGCAGCAACCAAGTGAGGAAAGGAGTAAAGTCTCAAGTCATAAAGTTCAAAAGATCATGGCTAAGAAAACAGAAGAAAGATATAGCTCAGTAAAACTTCCAATATGGAGATGTGCAAACTGAATGAGTGACTAAGTAGTCCTGGAATAAGTCAAGGAAAACAGAGTCCTTAAGATTTGTAGTCCCAGATATCCCTAGGGAACCCCAACTGAGGCAGACAAGACCACCGGCATATGTCATCTCTCAGGGCACTGATATGAGCTAGAGAACACATCTGTAACTGGGCTGAATGAGCTGGGATATTTAAGATAATTTTAGGAGACTGTAATGCTCAACCCCCAACTTGCCTTTTGCCCCTCCCCTAGGCTTACAAAAGAAAAAAAGAAGTATATAGAAAGCAATATTTTACCCTTAAATCAAAATGTAGTGGGGAGTGGGAAGAGATACATTGTTTCAAGTTGAGGTGAGAAGCCTGTCAAGAAGAATTCACACATTATATCAGAGAAAAGAAAATATATAGGCAGAACTTCCCATGTTAAGCATGAGTAAAATGAAAAGAAATGATCTTGCAAATATATAAATATGCCATTAGGTGTGAGGGGGGGAGAAATAACTTGAAAAATGAACAAAGAACCCATTCTGGAGAGTAATATAGCCCTAGGAAAATAAGTAGGTTTCTTGTGAATCTTTTACATTGTACAGGAATTAAATAAGAATATAGATTTGATAAAATGCAAGAGCTCAAATACTAGCTATTAAAGTAACAAAATTAGAGGAAAAGGAAGATTGAAATGAGAGAACAAATTAAAACCTAAATAAGATAATTCATTCAAATAATTAGAAACAGCAAAAAGGAAGGGAGGGAGGAAATAAGGGAAGGAGAGGAAGAGAAAACTGGCTGACAATCAAAGTAATAGCACAGAGGAAAGGGTTGGGCTAATCATGCTTAATTACTATTCATCTTGCATTTAATAATAAAAGAAAAGGACAGACATGGAGAACAAGGAAATCCAATGTCCCTGAGGTGGAGAACTTAACTAATTAAAAAAGAAAAAAGTTCAGAGTATACAGTACAAAAAATTTGTCCAGCAATGAAGAAAGAACTCATCAAGGGTACACCACATGTTAGGGAAAAGTGATACACCACTGAGACATACCCTTGCTAAGTTACTAAACTTCAAGAAAACTAGCCTGGCTGGTGTGGGTCAGTGGTTGAGCATCGACCTATGAACCAGGAGGTCATGATTTGATTCCCAGTAAGGGGCATGCAAGAGGCAGCCTGCCCAAGTTGCGAGCTTGATCCCCAGGTGGGGGCGTGCAGGAGGCAGCCAATCCACGATTCTCTCTCATCATTGCTCTCTTTCTCTCCCCCCCTCCCTCTCTCCCTCTCTGAAATCCATAAAAAATTATTTTTAAAAGAAAAATAAAAGGAATTTGTTCACACACACACACACACACACACACACACACACACACACACTGAGTTACCTACAAGGGAGAAAAATAAGAACTAGCTAGCTAGCCTCAGACTTCTTCACAGTTATATCCAGTGGCAGAAGACAATAATGTCTACAACATTCTGAGGGAAAGAAAGTGTGACCCAAGAATATAATATTCAGCCAACATATCATTCAAGTATAAAGGCACTAGACTCTCAACATGAAAGAATGAAATAAAAATAGTACCCACAAGCCCTTCTTGAAGGAATTTCTTAATGAAAAAATCCAGGTAACTAAGAAATAAATCAAAGTAAAGAACTCAGAAATGCAGAGAAGTCATGGTACAGTGCATGGTTATAAGCATACGATCATTTTAAATATGAACTAAAAATAAAAAAGATAAAACTAACAGATGATTTATGATAACATAACAGAATGTAAATGCCATAATAATTTGAGTAATAAAAATTGGGAGTAGGGGAAAAAGTTGGGAGGGAGTGTAAGAAACCTAATCTCCTCTTTCATAGCAGACAGTCCACTTATAATGTGCAATCTTGAAATAGGTAGATTTTAAAAAATGGCTAAATGACTATTTGACCCAGCAACTCCACACCTAGGTATTTATCTACCTAAGAGAAATTAAATCATATTTGCAAACAAAAACTCGTAATGAATGTTCATAACAGCATTACTCACAAAAGCCAGAAAGTGGAACCAACCCACATATCCATCAACAGATGAATGGATAAACAAATGTGATATCTACATATAATGGAATATTATTTGGCAATAAAAAGAAATGAAGTACTGATACATGCCACCACATAGATGAACCTTAAAAACATAATGTTAAATGAGAAAAGATGGTCACAAAGGACCACATATTGTATGATTCCATTTAAATGAAACATTCTGAATAGATAAATATATAAAAGCTAGTGGCGCAGTGCACAAAATTTGTGCATATTAAAAGGGAAGTATTAGAGGAAATATTTTAATATTGATATTTGCCCTTTCTCTATAATAGAAGTGTCAGAGATGAAAGACAATTAGTAAAATATATATGAAAATCTCCCTCCTGTCAGAGTCTGGGGTGCACCACGGGTCCCAGAGTCAAGTCCCCAACCACCTGCGTGCACCTTGAAATTGCGTGAGATCCAGACCTGGCTGGCCCTACCCATCAAGCCCTACAGGGTTGGGGGCACAGCCTCAGGTCCCCCATCATGCCCCGCTGGGTGCGGGGCACGGCCTGAAGTCCCCTGGCCCCGGTGCCGGGGTGGGGGACACAGGCCTCAGGTCCCCCCGCCTGGCCTCAGTTCCCCTGGCCCTGGCACAAGGGCACGAGGGGGCGAAGGCTTGATGACCATTTGCATATTAGCTCTTTATTATATAGGATAGAAAATAGATCAGTGATTGCTTAGGGATGGGGAAGGATAGGGAGGCTGCGGGGAATGATAGCTATAAGATACAGGGTTTCTTTTTAAGGTGATGAAAAGTTCTATAATTGATTGGGGTAATGGTTGCACAATTCTGTAAATATACTAAAATCCACTGCATTGTACACTATAAGTGGATTAACTGTATGGTATGTGAATTTTATCTCAAAAAGTTCCTTAACAAAAAGACATTAGAAAAAAATTAATAACTGTTCAATGTTTTCATAATATTTTTTCTTAACCTTAGAGGGATGTTAATGACTGGTATATTTTACTAGAGGACCGGTGCACAAAATTCATGCACTCGGAGTGGGGGGGTCCCTCAGCCCAGACTGCACCCTCTCGCAGTCTGTGAACCCTCAGGGAATGTCCCCCACAGGGAGTGGGCCTAAGCCATCAGTCAGATGTCCTTAGTGCTGCCACAGAGGTGGGAGAGGCTCTCATCACCGCTGCTGCATTAGCCAGTCACAGCCCAGCTTCTGGCTGAGTGGCGCTCGCCCTGTGGGAGCACACTGACTACCAGGGGACAGCTCCTGCATTGAGCATCTGCCCCTGGTGGTCAGTGGGTATCATAGTGACCGGTCATTTTGCTGTTTGGTCAATTTGCATATTAGCCTTTTATTATATAGGATAGTTAAAAAAACACATTTGTCTGAAGATTAGCAATTCTTCAACTTAAGTATTTTAGTCTGATAAATTCAAGTAAAATTAAACAAAATGTTTTAAATTTATTATAATCCTATATTACAAAGATTTTCTATGTACCCATTCACCCTTCCCTCTATGTCTAGATATGCAAAAAAAGATATATGAAATAATTTTCATATAATGTGAACCCTGAAAAAGGAATTTGGGTGATTTGTTGCTTTTTTTTATTATTTCCTACTAGAGGCCTGATGCACAAATCCATGCACCAGGGCCTCTAGTATGCATATGATCTTTGGTTAATCTCTTCCCGCCCTCTCCCCTCCCCCTTCCGTCTGAGATTCATCAGTCTGTTCCATGTTTCCATGCCTGTGCATTGAACGTCTGCCACCTGGTGGTCAGTGCACATCATGGCTACTGGTCGAGCAGTTGAACGGTCACATATATATAGATAGATAGATAGATAGATAGATAGATAGATAGATAGATATTGATTAAATTTTCAATAATGAGTATGTGTTATTTGTATTTATCTTTAAATTGTCCTTACAAAGTAAATATGCCAAAGTATTAATGTTTACATATGGGTAGTAGGATTAGGAATATTGTTTTCCTCCCTTAAAAATATTTTCATTGGTTTTTAGAGAGATAGGAAAGGAGAAGGAGAGAGAAGGAAAAACATCGATGTGAGAGGGAAACATCGATTGGCTTCCTCCTTCACGACCCCTGCTGGAGATTGAGCCTGCAACCCGGGCATGTACCCTGACCAGGAATCAAACCAGCAACCTTTTGGTGCACGGGCCAATGTCCAACTAACAGCCACATTGACCAGGGCTTTTCCCTCCTTCTTTATTTTCTGTACTTTCCCAATTTTCCTACAATGAACATCTATTATTTTAGAGACAGAACAAAGTAAAAAATAATAGAATTAAAGAGATGTGTAGCAGCTCTTCAAATGATCGGTTATTACCTGGGCTCCTTCTGTTGCTCCTGAATGATCTTTCTTCCTGGCCAGACATCACCCATTTGTGACTGATGATGGAGGGACTGTCCCACAGTCTCTCTTTTATTCACTTCAAAACAAACAAAAACATGGCAGAATGGTGGTGATGAGGGGGGAAAGGGAAACACATTATACTTGCAAAAGGGATAGCAATATAATCTTTATGTTCCCCCACAATCAGGTTGAGCCATGAAGGTAAGAAACCACCAATAAGAATACATGATGATTTCACACCAGAGAATCTATGACTTGAGGTCAAACACCTTAAGGAACCACCTCCAGAAAGATCCTGTACCTGCAGGTTTGCGACGCAGGGACATCCTGATTATCTCACTGCCTGTGCGATAAGCAAAGCGATTCACTTTCTGGTCATAAAACCAGTCTCCAGTTGCCTTCTTCAGCTCTCTGGGAAGGAATATAAGAAAATGACAGATAGATAATGGTTCTTGTCATTCAACCAATGAAGGCTGAGAGGAGAAAGTCTGACCACAGCTAGGGCCTCATTTCCTCTCTCTACTCAGCCCTAAGTGACACTCACATTTCCTTGGCGCACACCTTGCACCTCCAGGTACCATTGCTTTCATGAATACGGCAGTCTCGGCACACCAGGTGATTACAACCCCGACAAGTGTTGGTCTTAGGAGTCAAACGGCCCAGGTTCTCCTGGCACCGGGCACAGGTCCGATCACTATAGTGTTGGCTGCCCCTCTTGGCCCCTTTCCTTTTTATTTCCAGTAATTCATTCTTCAATCGCCTGCCGAGACCCAAAAAAGAAGTACAAGTTGATTCAGAATCTGCACAGGTTAGAGAGAGAGGGGTTGTGGAGTAGAGACAGTAAAACTATTTAGTTCTATGAAAGCAATCACCTCAGAGCCCAACCTAATCCAATGAAGAGTTGTAAACATCATACACAAGTTCCTCTGATAGTCATATCCTATATAATAAAGAGGTAATATGCAAATTGACCATCACTCCAACACAAAGATGGCCACCCCCATGTGATCAAAGATGGCCGCCCCCATGTGGACACAAGATGGCCACCACAAGATGGCCAGCAGGGAGGGAAGTTGGGAGGGGCCAGGCTGGCAAGGGAAGGCAGTTAGGGATGACCAGGCCTGCAGGGAAGGGCAGTTGTGAGTGATGAGGCCTGCAGGGGAGGTCAATTGTGG